GGTTGAATAGGGTATAGGTGGGATATTTAAGGATTCCAGGTTTTTCTAAAGTGTTCTAAATGTAGAACTGATTTTAATACAGTTTTATATGTTTACTGTAAGAATTCCTCCTTCCCTCTTGAGAGGTGTTTTGCCCTCTATATTCTCGCAAGATTCTAAACCCTGAGATCTGCTCACCCTACACACTTAAAGGAGCACTATAGGCACCCAGACCACTTCAGCTCAATGAAGTGGTCTGGGTGCCAGGTCCATCTAGGATTAACCCTGCCTGCTGTAAACATAGCAGTTTCAGAGAAACTGCTATGTTTACAAATGGGTTAATACAGCCTCAGGTGGCTGTCTCATTGACAGCCGCTAGAGGCGCTTCCGCGCTTCTCACTGTGATTTTCACAGTGAGAAGACGCCAGCGTCCATAGGAAAGCATTGAGAATGCTTTCCTATGGACTAGCTGATTGTGCGCGCAGCTCTTGCAGCGCATGCGCATTCAGCCGGTGACGTCAGAAGAGGGAGGAGAGTCCCCAGAGCCAAGCGAGCCCGGCGCTGGGGAAAGGTGAGTGTTTAACCCCCTTCCTCCCCCTTCAGCCCGGCAGGAGTGGGACCCTGAGGGTGGGGGCACCCTCAGGACACTATAGTGCCAGGAAAACGAGTTTGTTTTCCTGGCACTATAGTGGTCCTTTAACAAGAATCACTTATTCAAAGTATTGGTAGAAATTATGTATTTCTTCATTTATTTGGCAAAATATGGTATATAGGAGGCCTTTTTAGTCTAGAAATTGCCAAAGAAATGTTTCCTATATTTTCCAAATGAATCTAGATATTAAAAATTAATTGCACTCTAAATGTATGCCTAAAATCATATTTTATTATACACTTAATAAAAAGTAAAAAAGTGCACTATAACTTTAGGAATAGAAACATGCACTCCTAATGCTATAGTTTCTTAACACCTATATAGGTCCCCTGAACCCCCCATGTGAGGTTTTGAAAATGAGTATTATTTACCTTTCAGACCTCACTGCCTCG